GAGACAACCAGCTAATGGAATATTACAGGACATGCTGAAGGAAATGCATAAACGGATAAATCGACAGGACTGTGAATTAACAAAAAACGGACGCAAGATCACCGACAGCCTATGGTCTACCGAAGATACAGAAAACAACTAAGGCTGATAGTCAAGAAAAAGCATAAAACTCAAAAAAGATAAACGAACGTTCCCAAAGGATCCAAATCTCTGGACTGGTAGGAACATAACTTATGTCTCGTTTATAAGTATGATGTAGAGACTACCAGTAAATCACTTACATAAGATGTAATCACCTTATTTCGTTTAAGATGAAAACTCATAAACTAATTTACTGGTAGTCTAAATACTCTACTTATAAGCGAAAAATAAATAATGTAGTTGATTATTATAGCAAATATAACTTTTCCTTGATACTAGCGTACCTTTCATTTCGTTTAAGAATCCAGGTCGAAGGGATTCGTAGCGTGGCCACACCGGATATCTCAAGAGGGTTGCCTTGGCCTTTTGTCTGTTGAATTGTGCGAAGAAGACCTCGGCTCACCGTCTTACCACCCCGATGACTCTGTGCTGAGCTTTCGGCCGTCCTGCGACGGACATCGTCAGATCCAGAAAGCATTATTCACGAAAAATCACCAAAAATACTAAACCGAGAAAGGTGGCCAGCTGAGATCCTACTTACTTATTATGACTCATGTTGCGATCTTAATGAGGCATTCCATGATTTGGTTGGCTGATGTATGCTTGTCCTACATGCATGTCAGCAGGTCAAAGTGATGCAGACAGGGGAGCAGATCTAGTCACAAATTTTGTCAATGTAAATTAACTAGAGTATGATCCAATAGTCCTGGGTCTTATTACAGCTTAGAGTATGCAAAAACCCCGAATTAGTGGAAAATTTTAGGTTCCAAAACAAGCTTCAGTTTAGTCTAGTCTTCTTTTACTCAATGGCTCTTACGGTTCCCTTTCCTTCTCTCTCTCTTTCTCACTCTCTCACCCTGTTTAGAAGCCAGAGATAGTTCTTACTTAGTTTCCCACATTCATTTCTCTTATTCAGAAGGTTCTTTGTTTTGTTAATTTCAATCGACTCTCTGATCTTCCGCTTAGCTGTGAAGTCCTTATATCCGGCAAAACATTGGGATTTAGACCACTCTATCTGGTGCCCTGCAGCAACCACATGTTCAGCCACTTCAGATTTATGAATCCATAAACCTTTGCAGGCGGTTTCGTGTTCTGATAGCCTATCATGTATGGGTTGACAAGTCTCCCCCGCATAAACACTACCACATGAGCACAAAATCTTATAACAACCTGATCTGCAGATGGCGTCGGAAGATTCTCTAAATGAAGGCATAAACGAGGAAAGCGTTATTGTTTCTTTATACATTGTCTTGAGATTCCATTTCCTCAATAATTTGCCTATCTTTCTTGGAAGCTTGCAGGATGGTCGCATTAGGAACCTGGCCGAAGAGTTGTCTAATTATTTGCTTTGGCCAAAATAATGGTTTTACTTTACCGTATTTTTCAATATTTTGAAATTGTTAACAATCAATCCTACAGGATAATTATTTTTAACTGAGCTTTTTCTTAGCCTTTCAAACTCCTGTTCTTGATGAATTACGTCGACTAGGCGTAAACTCCTTGTTAGCATTGATTTCGTTACGCCTACCTTAACACCATAAGTATGGTTCGAGAAGAAATTCAGAAGGAAACCAGTATTTGTGGGTCTCCTGTATACATCTCTACCCAGTTTTCTCCCTTCTTTATTAACTAGGGAATCTAAAAAGAGTAACTTATTGTATTTTTCTAACTCCATAGCGAATTTAGTCGCCTTATCTACTCTATTCACTAAACCAAGGAAGTCATCCAAACACTCTGCCATACTTCTAGATAGAAAAGTAATCATGCATATATCTGGCCAATAGTCTCGGAACTAGGAGTGACTCTTGAAGTAGCCGGACTTTCAATTGAGCCACGTAGTTTTTAGCTAAAACTGAAGACAAACATGATCCCATAGCTAACCCTCCTGTTTGTTCGTATAATTTACCATTAAAGATAAAATATGTACTATTCATTATTAAGTTCGTCAATCGCATGATTAACAACTTGCTCATCCTATTTCCTGATACTATCGCCGGGTGTAGATCTAAGGTTAATGCCTGTATGACCACACTTATTCGTACATTCGTATACATTGATACTACATCTAAACCCTGGAAATTTTCAATAAAGATTTCTTATTTACTTGATAAAGTTAATAGACGAGCAAAAAATAGAACAAGAAGATTTGCTACTAAGTTTTGATGTAGTATCGATGTACACGAATGTACCGATAAGTGGGACCATACAGGCATTAGTATTAACCTTAGATCTATAGACAAAGATAATATGATAGATAAAAGAGTCAATTGAAATTTATAAAACAAAGAACATCCTAAATAAGAGAAAGGAATGTAGGAAACTAGGTGAGGACTAACGCTGGCTTCTAAATATATTGAGAGACAGAGAGAAGGAAAAGGAACAGGAAGAGCTACTGAGAAAGAGGAGACTAGACTAGGCTGAAGTCTATGAAGAAAAACTGGGTTGCGAAGAATTCTTTAATTAAATATTGTGGAATGACTCTCCATTTCGAAGGGAAATTTGGTTTCAAGGAATTCGTGATGTGGTCTCACTGGAAACCGAAGGAGAATTGTTGCATAAGGAAGACTTCGTCTGTACTGTGACAGACATAATCAAAGCAAAATTGCATAGTTTACGAAATAGAGCAGAAATACGCTAAACAGAGAGGTGGCCGGCTGCAACCCTAGTCGCTTTTAATGCACCTAACACCGCGATCTGAATTAGGCCCCCCATGATTTGGTTGGCTACTTTAACCTTGTTAGGGAGACCTTCATTTCGAATGAAAGTGCATGAAGAGGAGATTCGTTGGTCGATCTCACCAGATGAATCTCGTTGTATTGGAAACGTTTGGCTTTTATATGATATTCATATTGACACAGTCCACGAGACTTCCTCCCTCGTTTCGGGTGAAAACGAGCTGAGCTTTCGTCCATCATATGATGGACATCATCAGAGCTGGGGGTCATTCTTGTAAAGGTCAAACGTTAACACTAAAACAAGAACACTTCTTATATAGACTCAATCGAGCCAAAAAAATAAAAATAAAAAA